GGAGAGGGGGGTCTTCTGTAAGCAATCTGCGTCAACCGGCACGCGCTGACCCCTCAGTAGAGCTGGGATCCACACTTCCGGCTGGAATCGGATTTTTGGGAAGCTGGGTCACTCCGATCGATGCTGTCCATTATCCGCTGGACAAACCAGGCCGCGGAAAGTCGGTCACAGCGCTGTTTCATCCCGCAAAGTTTCAACCAGAACCGCTGGGCTGCGCGTCATCCTCTAAGCGCGCGTGCAGCCGCGTCCGGAGCTGTGAGGCGTAAGAGACCCAACGCGACCGGAGGCCGTGGGTTCGAGACTAATTCTTCATCTCGGTTTTCCCCGAATCCGCGGTTCTGAGCCTCTCTGAGGTCTGTGAGGTGTTCACCTGCTCCCAGACCAGCACCTGCCCCCCGGGTCTCACTCACCATGGCCGTGTAGCTGTGGATCAACATCTGGATGCTCCGGAAGCCCCGAACGAGAAGTGAAGGTGACGCACAGGTGTGTCCGGGCGGGATCCCGCTCAGCGCTCCATCAGATGATGCGCAGCAGCTGCTCTCCTGCTCTCTGTGTCACGGAGCCCTGAACAGCCTCTGCCAGCCTCGACGCACACGCGCGCACAACACACACGGACTCGTGCAGCCTCTCCATGAGAGCACTACTTATAGTTTCTGCGCGCGCCCGGCAGAATGAGGGGAGGGGTCGGCAGGGTCCACTTCTCTTAAAGAGACACATTCTGCCAAGTTCGTTCAACTCGCGCGCACTGAGTCGATTTTCGGTTTTATTTCGACGTTTTTGCGCGTAAAGTTACCGGTTTGAGTCGTCTTTGGACGCAGATTCCGTGAAAAACTAAATTACTGAATACAAATCCGAAATGTGGAAAGTGAAATTGAGCCCGAAGGCCTGGTGGCAGAGCCGTGCGTGTTACCTGCGCGGCCTCGATCTTGCTCCGGGACTTCCACAGCATGCCGGTGCTTCGTCCGGGTGTCAGGCCGCCGCTGGGGGGTGTGAGGCCGCCGCTGAGGGGTGAGTGTGAGGCGGAGGGAGAGGAGGAGACCGGCTGGAGGAGCAGGGAGGAGTGAGTCAGGTGGAGACGCGCAGGAGTTTCTATGGATGAGTCAGAGGAGGAGGGAGGGGAGGGGAGGGTTGGGGGGGGGGGGGGGGGGGGACTTTTCGGGGTTGGTGCTGCCATGCTAAAAGTACTTTAGATCTGATACAAGTCCAAAAGAAGACATACTTTATCATCATAAGCTGCACGTTTGATTGAAAAGTTCTAAAAAAAAAACCTAAAAGTTTCTGTTAAAAAGATAATAAAAAACTTAAATGAACCTTGAAGAGGAGAGAAAACCAGAACCTGCATCATACAAACCAGAATCAGGACCAGCAGCTCTTTGGGAATCCTCAGAAATCCTGTTTCCTGTCTGTCAGAATGTCTTTTCTTTGGCCTTTTTCCTCCATCAGCTACAGAAATAGAACAAATGATGTGTCGACAGGCTGCTGCTGACAAAGAACCTAAAGATCCACTTTAAGCTGCTGCTCTGCTGACTGGACACAATGCTGGCTCATCCCTTGAGTTAGGGGCCTTTTTCTGCCTGAAGGACTCAGAGTTCAGAGGCTGAACAGAGAAAAGACACAAAAACTGGACTGAAAACAAGAGATGCAGAATAAACTCTTCAGAGCTGCTTTCCTTTATTCAGGTTTTTCTTCTTATCTGTTGGAGTTCTGCTATTTCCAGCTCATCAAACACACATCAGCAGTTTAAACACGTTAAGGTGCTTCATTCTGAGGACTTCTCCAAACCTTTAAAAGGCCTAAACGTCCAAAAGCAGCTTATCGTCGCTCCGTGAGCTGACAAACAGCTGCTGTTATTCTGGGACTGCAATTCGGCCTCTGATTGGTCGGTTTGGTCTCAGGCTGTAGATGTGAGAGATGCTCATTTTGTTGATCATTTTCAGGCCGCGTGCGTTCAGGTCTGACTGAGGTCTAAGCGTGCCCCCTGGTGGCCGGTTCGGGCATCGCCTCCCCGGGAGGGAGGTCTCCTCAGCATCAAAAACCCATCAGGGCCCGTCTCTCCTCTGATTGGCTGTTTCCGCCTCTGATAGCTTCCGGTTTCCGCCCCAAAAGCAGCTTCACTTTATTCACTCTGTTCAGACTTTATTATTTAACAGAATCAGTTCATATACAAACAACTGCTCCTTCTCTCTCTTTAATTCTTAAAGTGTTCAGTTTGTTTCTGCTCACGTTTCAGTCCAGATGGAAGTTTGGTGCACAGAGGCGTCAGAGCAGCACACATTTAAAGAGACAGGACCCCCATCAGGAGTCCCTCGGCCTACAGGAGCCCCATCAGGAGCTCCATCAGGAAGCCCTCAGAACCCTATCAGCCTACAGGAACCCCATCAGGAGCCCCATCAGGACCCCAACAGGACCCGATCAGGACCCCCTCATGAGACCCTCAGGAGCCCCCTCAGGCTGCTCATCCTGCTGGCTGCTCCCCCCTCGCTGCTCGTCACGGCGTCGGCGATCTCCTGCCGACAGTCGGGGCACACCTCCGCTGCAGCGCACAGCGCCTCCTCCAGCGCCTCCTCGGTGTGGCGGTCGGCCCGCTCGCCGCCCAGCACGCCGCCCAGCGCGTGTCTGAGCCAGCCCTCCTCCCTGAGCAGCGCCGCCAGGCCGGGCTGGGCCCGGACGCAGCCCCCCAGCGCCTGCAGGCTCAGCCGCCACAGCTCGCCGGCCTCCGCCCAGCTCTCCTCCCAGCCGCCGCCGCCCCGCCCCGGGTCCAGGGCGCCGCTGAGTAGCCGCAACGCCGCCGAGAAGAAGCGCCGCTGGTTGGCTGCTAAAGGTCCTGTGGGGGACAACAATTACCCATGATGCAACACAGCGGGTCTCAGAACCTCCCCCACCCCCCTCAGGACCACAGACCCGATTCTGAGTGCAGACCCGGGTCAGTTTTCCTCCTTTTAGATCTCTGACTTCCCTTCCTGGATCACTAACGAGCAGGAGGTGTGGCAGTTCTCTCACCTGGAGGAGGAGACCTCAGCCTGCCAATCATCAGCCCCAGACAGCAGTAATTGGCTGCCAGGACCCGGAGGCGGGGCTTGTTCACCAAAGCAGGAAGTGCTTCGCTCAGATGGGCCTCCAGGATCCTGAAACACGGGTCCGTCCTGTAGAACCAAACAGCTCGGGTCAGGCAGGTCAGGCGGGCCGGCCGGGGACGGCAGCCTCGGTGGCCTTTACCTGACGCGCTCTGGCTCAGTAACGGCGAAGTTCAGCAGGGCGGAGCACGCCGTCTCCAGGCCGGGGTCTCTGGCCGCGCCGCTCTTCTTCTTCAGGTGACCCCAGCCCTGCGACAGGAAGTCCAGCAGCAGGGCCGGCGCCTCCAGGCTGAGAAGCACCTTCCTGGGCGCCTCCTCCGCCGACAGGTGGCACAGAGCCGGCAGCAGGTACCTGTGGAGGGGGCGGAGCTTTAGCTATGACGTCACAGCAGGCTTGGATCGGGTCACCTGGCGGCCGCTACCTCAGAGCCTGCCCGCCCCTGCAGGCCCCGCCCTCCTCTCCGCCCGACGCCTTGGCCGCCCACTCAGACAGTCCGGGCATCCCGTCCTGAAGGTGGCGCCGCCCGTAGCCAATCAGGAAGGGCAACAGCGCGGTCACTTCCTGCTTCAGACAGGAAGTCTCCTCGGCCAGCCACGAGCACAGCGAGCGGAAGGTGGCGAACACAAAGGGGTCGTCATAGCGACTGGGGTCCACCTGTTGGAGGAGGAGGAGGTGAGGCGGCAGGCAGAGCGCCACAGGATGATGTCACACCGGGGTGGGGGGGGGCTCACCTGCTGCAGGTGGTACACCACAGCATTGAAGGCCTCCTCCAGGACCCCGAGGACCTGCCGGCTCTGCTGCAGGCTGAGAGCAGAGGCGCCGGCGTGGGGGGGCGGGGCCTGGGCGTCGCCACACGCCTGCTCGATGGCGGCCTCCATGATCCGGTAACAGCCTGCGAGCAGCGGCACAGACTCATCACTCTAAGTTCATAATAAATAAGTTCACAAACCAACATCCTAATAAATAAGTTAATAAACAAACATCCTGATCGTAAACTCACAAACAAACAAAGGTCCTGATGATAAATAAGTTAATAAACAAACAAACATCCTGATATTAAATAAATCCACAAACAAACATCCTGATCATTAACTAATAAACAAACAAACAAACAAACAAACATCCTGAAAATAAATAAGTTCACAAACAAACATCCCGATAATAAATGAGTTCACAAACAAACATCCTGATAATAAATAAGTTCACAAACAAACATCCTGATAGTAAACTCACAAACCACCAAACATCCTGACGTTTAATAAGTTCATAAACAAACATCCTGATGTTAAATAAGTTCATAAACAAACATCCTGATAGTGCTCTACCTGTCAGCGTGTGCTGCAGCTCCAGGCTCAGGTCGCTCCCGGGCGGCTCCTCTAAACCCATCCGGACCTCCACGCAGGCCCGGTTCACCAGCAGGCAGCAGAACTTTGGGGAACCCACATGCTCCCAGCCGAACAGGTCCAGCAGGCAGGCGCTGAGCACCAGGACCGGCCCGATCTGTCG